GAATCAACTAATTTTCGTGGCTCCCCGTACTTCGCGTCTAGTCGCCGAAACATTTCGTCAAAATCGTCTTCTATTCCTCTGATCGTCTCCAATGCGTCGTCCGTTAAACATTGTCGTAAGGCATACGCGTCTTTTCCAAACTGTTTTTTCATTAGCCTATCAAAATCTTTCTTGAAACTGGAATATTGCCGGATATTGCCAGAGAACTGCGGCGCATTTAGAGGTTTGACTTTTATTTCTGAAAATTTAGCATGTTCCTTTTGATTTTTAGTTGCAAATTGCATTCTGACTTCATCCATGTTTGCTTCAATATCAGTCATATATTCGTCACTTTCTTCCAATAATTTATCAATCAAATGATGTGGCCCAGTTTCATTAATTGCTGCGTTGACAAAGTCGTTACACTTTTCGAGTTGGCGGTACGAGTCCTTTATGTCTTCAAATTTTTCTTGGATCGCCATTAGTGGACCATCCTTTTCAATCATGTCGCGGAAGCCCAACATTTTCCTAGTAAACTTCCTTTTTGCGTTTCCTCGTTCTTGTTTCGCTGTTCGTATGTCCTTCGTTGTATCCGATGATCGTGGTTCCTCCTCTTCCTTCTTGTTCATTTTTGGTAATTTTAAGTTACTTTACTCAAATTACGTTATTCTTAATCAAGGTTTGTTCAAGTTTCAAAGAAGTCGTTATGACATTGAAGATGAAATGTAATATTCGTGTATAAACTCAAAATAAAACTGCAATGTGATGTAGAATTTGTATCAACACAAAGTAAGAAACAGAACAAATTGTCTTCGGATCAAAGTTCTTGCTATGTAACAAATTTCATCCTGAAACAAGACGAGACATTGATCAGCACAAATAATGGAAATTAATATAGCCAGAAAATTTAAATGACACATATTCACCAAAATAATCCTTACTTCATTGCAGCCAAAATTCAAAATATGTGGACCAAGAAGTCACGACAAATCTTGCGTAAAAATTCAAACATGATATTCTCGTGCGATACTCTTCATTCGCTTTTCGCTATTGCAGTTCTTGCAATACACCCCCCCCCAGCAACTCGCGGGTTAACCCTATGGGAAAATGCACGTGCGGATTACCCCAAAACGGGTTAATTATATTTCAAGCGACCGGTACCAGCCGGTAGCTCCCCCATACGGGACCAAACGCTGAAAATGGCAAAAAAATCTACCGTGCCGTTTTTGAGGGATTCAAAATGACCCAAATCGCGGCAGAAACGCTAAACACCCCCCTAGAGAGGTAGCTCAGGTTGGGATTTTCAATAGAAAATCACAATTCTAAAGAATAGTGATTGTCTAATTGAAAAGTCCCAACCTTCGGATATGCATTTCTTAAATTGAGCTTTTTGAGCCAAACGCGTACACATATGATAAAATGAATGTCACCATCGTATTCTACGCCCAAAATTACCCATATAACATGTGTCACAGGCTGCGAATATCAGTTTTGATTTTCGGGGATATGTGCCTACCCGGTTGACCTGACCTTGACCCTGACCTATGCTTGACTGACCCTACATGGAGCTAACACTCTTGTAAGCCTTATATGATGGATTGTGCACCGTTTTGACAGAGTTTATGACGAGAGGCGCCCATTGCGAAGTCCTGAGGTCCATGCTACTGAAAGCCCGATTTCAGGTGTTTGACCTGACCTTGACCCGACCTGTGACCTCAAAATTCAACTTTAAAGTACTCATTTAAAGCGTCTCGTCGCGTTCTTTCGTTTGCCGCCTCGTGCGTTTCGCTGCGCCTATTGGTTCTCGAGTTATCGGCTGGGGGCGTTTAACGCCCCCCCCCCCCAGCAAACGGCGGGGTGGCGAAATACCCCAGCAACTGCCGGGTTAAAGTTGGTGGATTGCATGATGTTATGGGCGCCTACAATTGATATATCTCGGATTTTTTATATTCGTGACTAAGGCCAGGCCAGTGGCGTGACCTTTCCATCATAAGTCAATGGAGAAAAATGAAAATGCCTCTAGATCCGTGTGTAGCATATGAACAGTCCAAATATTTCAGAATCACAATGATTTGGACCACCCGTGACGACCAAGGTGTCTGTTTTGCTGATAGCCTCTTAGAAAGCTCATCCGAGGTCATTTGAGGCTATAAACAGATTTTTGCCAATAACTCTCGATTGGAAAGAGATAGAACGCTGGGGATGACCTCGTTGTGTTTGTCTTGTTGAGACGCATCGATTGATATGCAACATGACCTTTTCCGGTCAGGTCATGACCTTGACCTGAGGTCAAATTTTCAAGTTGACCTTTCAAGGTCAAATTATAGTTCATTCGACTTGTCTCGGCGAGAGGAATACGATTCTGGCAACAGAAATGTCGTGGCTTTTTTAAGTCGAAAGTTGTTGTCGAAAAACGCTTTCCGTACTAAAGCAGCTATTTTTAAAGTTTTTGCCCTCTGGAGGCTAAACCGTTGACCTGAGGCCAATTTTGATGATGACCTTATAAAAAGAAGAGTTTAAAAGTTATCGATTGCTTTTCCATGCGCTTTTCTAGCTACCATAGTTCCTGAGATAACGGCATGTTTTCTGAAAAATATAACGGCAATTGGCAAATTTTGACCCTTGCTGACCTCTGGTGACCCCAATATTGCTCTAAGATGAAAAATGACTGAAATAATTTTAAACGTACTCATTGAGAGCTATCGACTGCTATTTACTGCGTCTTTCTAGCCCTCTTAGCTTTTGAGTTAGAGGTGGGTGGTAACATATGCCTCCCCCCACTAGGGCGAAGTTGGCTGAGACCGCCACTGGGGCGCTGGTTAACCCGGCAGTTGCTGGGGGGAGCATTCATTCTGGCCAGGGTTCATAATGTCCAGGGTACGATATGCCCAGTGTCGATATGGCCAGTGCCTTGAATGAGCCAGAGTTCATAATGTCCAGGGATTGCATAGTCCAAATGCGGCCAACTGGCTGCAGATAGGGTATATTCAAAGAGGCCAGGGTTCATAATGTCCAGGGCACGATGTGTCCAGTGTTCGAAATGGCCAGGGTTCATAATGTCCAGGACACGATGTGTCCAGTGTTCGAAATGGCCAGGGTTCATAATGTCCAGGGCACGATATGTCCAGTGTTCAAAATGGCCAGTGCCTTGAATGGGCCAGAGTGCATAATGTCCAGGGATTACATAGTCACTGATAGTGACGTCATTATGTAAAAAGCACGGAACCAGCTCAATGCGAAGCAGTGCAGTGCCGAAGGCAATGCCTTAGGAGAGATTACAGGCAATAGTAAATCAAATATTTTAGGTTAAGTGGTTATGTATCTGGCTTCAGGCCGAAGGCCTGAAGCCTGATGCATAACCACTTAACCTAAAAATATTTGATTTACTATTGCTTGCAATCTATTCATGCGAGAAACTATTTCCTTATCCCCGGTAGGCAAACATCATTACCTTAGGTTAGGTTAGGTTAGGTAAGGTTAGGTTAGGTTAGGTTAGGTTAGGTTATGTTAGGTTAGGTTAGGTTAGGTTAGGTTAGGTTTGGTTGGGTTGGGTTGACTATGTAATCCCTGGACACTATGAACTCTGGCCCATTCAAGGCACTGGCCATTTTGAACACTGGACACATCGTGCCCTGGACATTATGAACCCTGGCCATTTCGAACACTGGACACATCGTACCCAGGACATTATGAACCCTGGCCATTTCGAACACTGGACACATCGTGCCCTGGACATTATGAACCCTGGCCTCTTTGAATATACCCTATCTGCAGCCAGTTGGCCACATTTGGACCATGTAATCCCTGGACAATGTGAGCACGGGCCAATTCAAGGCACTGGCCATTTCGAGCACTGGACACATTGTGCCTTGGACATTATGAACCATGGCCTAAATAATACGCACCCGTTGCTGGGGTATTTCGCCACCCACCGTTTGCTGGGGGGGGGGGGGGGGCGTTAGACGCCCCCAGCCGATAACTCGAGAACCAATAGGCGCAGCGAAACGCACGAGGCGGCAAACGAAAGAACGCGACGAGACGCTTCAGATGAGTACTTTAAAGTTGAATTTTGAGGTCACAGGTCGGGTCAAGGTCAGGTCAAACACCTGAAATCGGGCTTTCAGTAGTGTGATAGGTTCACATGTAGTTTGGCGGTTGGCGTAGTTTCTACTTGCTGGCCTGTGTACTACGTGGGGCGTAGCTACGTATTTACGTTATATGGCGAGGCCCCGCTCCGTTATACCACGTGACCGCCTGGAGGCAGCTGGCGGTCACGCTGGCTCTGCGCAGTCTCGAATACACAGTTTGAACCGCACCACCGCGTCTATAACATTGGCGACGAGGGCTCTCGAACGCGGAGATGGCGGGGCGAGTGCCGGAATTCGACGCGGCGCTAGAGGATTTTAGTGCGTATTCTCGGCGGCTTCAACAATACTTTGTGTCGAGTGATGTCAGTGATCCCGCGAAGAAGCGAGCCGTGTTTCTGTGCGCTATCGGTGCGAGAACTTTTGGTCTTTTAGAGGATCTGATCGCGCCCTGCTCAGTGGAAGACGACAGCTATGAAAATCTGGTGGAGGTGCTCAAAAAGCATTTTGAGCCTGGGACATCGGCGATAGTCGCACGCTTCCGTTTTCACACCTGTGTACGGGGTGAAGAGGAGCGGGTGAGTGTTTTTCTGGCCCGTCTCAGGAAGCTCGCCAAACCATGCCGGTTTCCAGCGGAGCTGTTGGACGAGCTGCTGCGTGATCGTCTCGTCTGTGGCACCCGACATGAGCAGCTGCAGTCCCGGCTTCTCAGCGAGTCCAACTTGACACTCCAGTCGGCGGTAGACCTGGCTATGGCGCAGGAGTCGGCTGCTGCGAGCGCTGCGGAGCTGAGCACCGCTCTGGCCGCGGACAGCACCGACACATCTGCAGTTCATCGAGTGGAGAGCGTCAGCCGTCCAGCACAGCGGCAGCAGCCGGCCGCTCGTGGCGGCAGCGGCAGCGGCAGCGGCGACGGCGGCGGCGGCGGCGGCGGCGGCGGCGGCGGCGGCGGCGGCGGCCGGGCCGGTGCCTGCACTCGGTGTTTGCGGCGCCATCGGCCCGAGTCGTGCCCGTTCCGTACGAAGCAGTGCTTCCGGTGCGGTCGGACGGGGCACATCAGGGCCGTGTGCAGCAGGTGGACCCAGCAGCAGCTGCATCAGCTGGAGGGCGACGTCGAGCCGGCCGTCGATGTCGAGACTCTGGGGCACGAGCACGGCGGTGACGACCGGCGGGAAACCACCAGAGTTCCGGAGGATGAGGTCTACTCCCTGTTTCATCTGCAGACGGGGCTCGGGAAGCGACGACCTCCGCTGCTGGTGGACCTGACTCTGGATGGACAGCCCGTGAAGATGGAGGTCGACACGGGGGCCGCCGTCTCGGTTTGCTCTGTGGCAGACTTCGATCGACTGTGGCCGGACCGTGGTCCTGTGCTGCAGCCCTGCTCGGTGCAGCTCAAGACGTACAGCGAGGAACCGATCGCAGTCCTGGGCCAGGTGGAGGTCGACATCGACTACGCGGGCCAGTCGGCCCGTCTTCCTCTCGTCGTGGTCGACGGATCTGGCCCGTGCCTCTTCGGGAGGAACTGGCTGGAGTACATTCGTCTGGACTGGCCGGCCATCTGCCAGGTTCGTTCGCAGTCGCTCGACGGGCAGCAGACCCGCAGAGTGGACGACATCTTACGGGAGTTTCCGGACGTCTTCAAGGAAGAACTGGGCTGCTACACCGGCGGAGAAGTCAGCATCGACGTGGACCCGGGGGTGCAGCCGAGATTCTTCAAGCCACGCACCGTTCCCCTGGCCTACCGGGAGGAGGTGGACGCCCAGCTGGAGAAGGGGATCAAGGACGGCCTATGGGAACCGGTCAGACACAGTAAGTGGGCGGCGCCCTTGGTAGTCGTACCTAAAGATGGCGGGTCTTCAGTCCGCATCTGTGGGGATTACCGCTTGACTGTTAACAAAGCAGCTCATGTTGAACAGTACCCTCTTCCTCGCATCGAGGAGCTGTGTTCCAAAATATCTGGCTGCACCGTGTTCTCAAAAATAGACTTAAAAAACGCCTATAACCAGCTGGTGTTAGATGAGCGTTCCCGCGTGTTTCTCACGGTAAACACACCGAGGGGCCTACTGCGGCCCTGTCGCCTGAGTTTTGGCTATGCTAGCGCTGTCTCTCTGTTCCAGCGCACTCTGGAGTCCGTGTTGGCGGGTGTGCCCGGGGTGGGTGTGTTTTTGGACGACATCGTGTGTGGCGGGCGGGACCAGCAGGCGCATGACTCAGCGCTCCGTCAGGTTCTGCACAGGTTGCAGGAGGCAGGCCTCCGTGTGAACCGGGCTAAGTGCCGGTTCTCGGTGAGTGAAATCACTTACCTGGGCTTCAAAGTCAGTAGTCAGGGCGTGCAGACGACATCCGAGAAAGTAGACGTGATTTTGAATGCCCCAGAGCCTCGTAACGTCAAGGAGCTGCGTATGTGGTTAGGACTGATAAACTACTACAGTAGGTTTTTGCAGCACCTGGCCACTCACCTGTCTCCTCTGTATCGGCTGCTCCGTTCTGGGCAGCGGTGGAGATGGACGGCGAAGGAAAGTGACGCTTTCCAGCGGGCGAAGTCGCTGTTGGTGCACCCACCCGTTCTGTGTCATTTTGACACGACTCTGCCGGTCGTAGTAGCATGTGACGCCGGGCCGCAGGCTGTCGGTTGCGTGCTGAGCCAGTTGACTCCAGAGGGCGAGCGGCCCGTGGCATTCCATTCGCGCACACTCAGTCAGACGGAAGCTCGGTACTCTCAGACTGACCGGGAGGCACTGGCAGTGATCACGGCCGTTAAGAAATGGCATTATTACCTCGCCGGTCGTTCGTTCAAAATTCACACGGATCACAAACCACTGCTGGGGATCATTGGTGAGCAAAAACCCTTACCGGTGATGGCCTCGCCCCGGATGGTTCGCTGGGCTATGATGCTCGGCGCGTACGATTACCGTCTTGAGTACCGGCCGGCCTCAAAGCAGGTGCACTGTGATGCGCTTAGTAGGCTCCCAGTAGGAGCTGCCGCGCCAGAGACCGTGCCTCTGCCGGCGGAGACGCTCCATTTAATGGAGTTTCTAGACTCGTCCCCTGTCAGTGTGGCCCAGATCCGTCGCTGGACCAGCGTGGACCCTGTTTTGTCGCGGGTGTACCGGTATGTGCGTGACGGCTGGCCACCAGCTGACGAGTCTCTCGGGTTAGAGCTCCAACCGTACAAGTCTAGAATTGGTGAGCTCAGTATCGAAGATGGGTGCGTTCTGTGGGGTGCACGTGTCGTGGTGCCTCCTCAGGGTCGGCCGGGGTGCTGAAGATGTTGCATGAAGGCCACCCTGGGGAGACGAGGACTAAAATGTTAGCACGCATGTATATTTGGTGGCCGCGCCTCGATGACGATGTAAAAGAGCTGGTGAGAGCGTGTGAAAAATGTCAGGAGTGTCGGGGTCGCGCTCCCGATGTTCCGCTGCACCCGTGGGTGTGGCCCACACGTCCCTGGCAGCGCATTCATATAGATCACTGCACTGTCAACGGCGCACTTTTCTTAGTGCTGGTGTGCGCTCACTCGAAGTGGATTGATGTTTTTCCAGTGCACTCAGCTGACACTGGTACCACGCTCGAGAAGTTACGTATTTCGTTTGCAGCCTGGGGCGTGCCCGAGGTTCTGGTGTCAGATAATGCCCAGGGGTTTGTGTCAACAGAGTTCGAAACATTCTGTAAGGTAAATGGCATACGTCATTTGACAACGCCTTGTCTGTCACCGAAGTCCAATGGCGCGGCTGAAAAAGCGGTAGACATTTTCAAGAGAGGTCTCTATAAGCAGAGGACTGGGTCTGTTCAGACAAAGGTATCCCGTTTTTTGTTCCGGTACCGCACGACTCCCCAGAGCACGACACAGTGCACCCCGGCGGAGCTGTTTTTAGGCAGAGTCCCTCGTACGCATCTGGATTCTCTCATCCCAGGTAGAGAGGTTAGAGTGCGGGAAAAACAGGAGTCTCAAAAGAGGTACAAGGATCAGGGCAGTCAGGATAGGGCTGTGTCAGTCGGTGACAAAGTGTTTGTGTCTGCGGTAGACAATCTCCGAGGATTGGACAAATGTCGGTGGGCCCCGGGTCATGTGGTGTGTCGTGACGGTCTAAAACTCACTGTCCAACTGTCGGATGGAAGAATTATTGTGAGGCATGCGGATCGTGTCAGGAAGCGATATTGTGCTGTGTCCGTGTCTCATGATGTCAACCGTCGCCCGCAGGAGCCAACTCCCGTGCGAGAGACGGCTGCGAGTCCGGAGACTCCTGTGACGGAGGCGACGCAGCTGCCGGTCCGGTCGCCCGAGGCTGAGCCGCTCCCGGACGCCCCGGCAGATCACTCAGCCGGTCACACAAGCTGCACCGATGGTCTGGGGCGGGCTGGGGCGGCGGGCCCGAGCCCAGTGAGGGCAGCTGTGTCGCCCCGATATAGTCTCCGCGACAGGAGTGGTTTACAGAAGCCCAATCGACTCATGTATCGTTGACAGTGTTTGTTGTCGTTTGTTGCTCGTCTGATCGGTTTGCTTTTGTTATCCGAGGTGGAGGAATGTGATAGGTTCACATGTAGTTTGGCGGTTGGCGTAGTTTCTACTTGCTGGCCTGTGTACTACGTGGGGCGTAGCTACGTATTTACGTTATATGGCGAGGCCCCGCTCCGTTATACCACGTGACCGCCTGGAGGCAGCTGGCGGTCACGCTGGCTCTGCGCAGTCTCGAATACACAGTTTGAACCGCACCACCGCGTCTATAACAAGTAGCATGGATTTCAGAACTTCGCAATGGGCGCCTCTCGTCATAAACTCTGTCAAAACGGTGCACAATCCATCATATAAGGCCTACAAGAGTGTCAGCTCCTTGTAGGGGTCAGTCAAGCATAGGTCAGGATCAAGGTCAGGTCAACCGGGTAGGCACATATCCCCGAAAATCAAAACTGATATTCGCAGCCTGTGACACATGTTTTATGAGTATTTTGGGGCGTAGAACACGATGGTGACATTCATTTTATCATATGTGTACGTGTTTGGCTAAAAAAGTTCAATTTAAGAAATGCATGTATCATGGTCGTGAAGAAGTCACGAGAAATTGCCAAGATTCAGTTCAAGATTTTGGAAAATTCGGAACGATAATCAATAATCGAAGATAGCCATTTGATTGTTCAAGGTATTGGCAGTCTAATGGCGTTTACGGCATGTCTGTATGTCTATTCTGTGATTTTATATGATTTTTTGAACATATGCCGTTTTTGGTCGAAAACTCAGAAATCATGACGTCACTAAAACCTCGATATCTCAAAAATTTTCCGACCGTTTTTTTTTTTGAAACTTTGTCACAATAAACTTCAATCAATTCTCTACAGGTACCCAAAATTTGGCGCGCCTGCGGCGCGCCGTTTTTATGCTATGGCCCGGCGAAAAAAGTGGGGGCGTTTAACGCCCCCCCCAGCAACTCGCGGGTTAAGCCTCTTTGTTGGGTGCAGTCGATTTGTCCTGCAATCTGCATCAGTGCCTAATTACTACTCCATTGACCTATTGAGTAGTTAGGTACCCAATTTTACGAACTCCAAAGCATGTCATCCTTTGTCAGTTACTTTATGCTGGCCTTTCGACATTTTTAATTTAATGAGCTTTTTGAATATTCCCTCAAATTTGAACGTCAAATTGAGCGCAACTAAAACAATGCATTTGATATTAATCACGGACCCGGATTTTTCAAAAGCAAGAAACCCTGAGGACCTATCTCAACCTCTGAGACTCTATGTAAGTACGCCCCACGACTCTTCTCCCGGATACTGGAAGCGTACGCACATTCGCTCCCCAAGTCCGTACAAGTGCAGCTTTGTCCTGCACCTCTGATTTGACTGCCAAAGGCCCGGCTCTCACCTTTGTCGTCACTCTGGGAACTGATTATGCGCGTTTTACGGCGCTCGGCACCTGTCTGTGACACCTACGCGCAGCTCGATGGGCCATTCAGGGTTCAGGAGATCCGGTCGCCGCGGTGTGCTCAGGTGTGAGCCGGTCGAGTCGGGGGATCAGACCACTGCACAGACGGGCTGATCGGCTCAGTCCGCCGCTGGCTAAGCCTGTCCTCCCGGTACCCCCGGACCGTGTGCGCCAACCGGACTCGCCCCTAAGCCGTGCTGCTGTGAGATATAGGAGGGAGATATGTTGCGGCAAAGATTATGCGCTGGCTTCCTGGTCGGTCGGGGTGAGGTTGTAAATGATGCGTGTGGATTTTGGTCCTTACTATTGTCACGGCTGCCTAGATTTGGCCATGTGCAGACTTTGGGTGTGATCATTTTACTTTAAAACTTTGAAAAGAATTGTACTAAGCACTTATTTTCATCCTTATCTACATTATTTACCCCTTCCTCTGGAATATATGCTTTGCATAAGATGTGTATGAGAGTTTGCTGTTTTATACGCAATGAATAAAAGGACCGAGTAAGAACTTCAGCCTGGCGTTACACGCCTGGCGGCTCAACAGTATTTGATTTATACACGTTGTATCGACCATGGTGTCTATGAGACGCTTATCCTTTCCAAAACGTCATGTTTGACGAGTGTGTGATGTCTCGACAAGGCCAAACCCACCCATACAGCTCCCCTGCTGTATTCATCTAACTAATATTGCAAATGGGCTTTCCAGAATTGGTCGTACTTCGGCTAGTGCTTGGTTGTGAAGTCTTCGATTGAAAGGCTTTGAAAGGCTTAGGTTGACTTGCTGTATCAATTTTTAAGTGTGTTTCATTTCAGTGTTCTCGGTAAGCTAAACTTATCAGAAAAAAATGTTCTCTTTAAATGATGCACGTACAACGTGACATGCGGGTCCCAGAATGTTCTGATCCTGTGAAGAGGACCTGAATTATACAAGCGCGGCTGGATATATGAATGAGATCTGAAGGTTATTGTTGTGCTAACGTGTAAATGACAAATGCTATATAGGCCCATTGATTGGGGAACTATATAAAAAACGGCATCCAATGAATTATGGCCTACGCCATTAACCAGAAAGCACTCAAGGCCAGGACGACTGAAAAAAATAGCACACAGATGGGCTGTAAAATGACTTCTAAAATATGCTTGATGGAATGTTTTCACCGTTCGGATATCCTCTTAATTATAAGATGCGTTTCAGTTTCAAGCGGGGAGGAACATTCAGTGGGTATGCTATTAACGCCGCACAACGTAGGTATGGTAGTCCCATATCCCACTGCAGAATTGTACCGTGCAGATATTGGAAAGCCAATGGCCAACAGTACCGCGCCTTGACCTATGCCACTAAGTGATTGTCTACCAAACTTCCGCTAAGAATATGAAGAATCACTTGTTAGCCATCGCTAATTGTTACCATTTAAGGGGTAAAATTCGCTGCGATCCGCATAAGAGCCGTCTATAAAAGGTAAATTGAGCCGTCTCTCTAACTGGAATCCTTTGCCAACGGTTTGCGAGGCCATTGAGCGTGTCTCTCTTTATCCGGAGGTTTTGCACGGCGCACTGGGCACTGACCAGCAGTGGCCTTCGGAGCCGTTATTTGGTGTGAGTGAACCTGACTCAAGGCTGGCCATTTGAACAGTGACATGTTTTCTTCATTCATTGTTGGCCAATATGTCGTTCATACATGAATGGAAGTATATGGCAGTACAAAACGCTGTATTTACATCGACAGCATATTTTTATGTATACAAACATGGTAAGGTTGTAGAGCGATGAGCACAGCGAAAATGGTTAATGAAATGCGAACAATACCACTATCATATTCAAAGGTACGGATATAACCCGTCCGTTCATCCAATATGGCTTCCCTCTGCCCCACAAACATTTGTAGAAGCTCTGCGACACGAATGTTGAGCACACAAATCAGGTAGTGAAACACTTGATCAAAATAAATACGAAGCAATATCGACGCACGCGAACACATGAAGAGATGCAAGGAATAAAACAGATTGCAACGCATGATGAATTGTGTTTAGGGAGGGATAAAATTACATTCCGGTCACATTTAGACGTTCTAAAAAAAAACACCCACACACACAACACAACGCCCACACTTATCCACTATCAACTCTCATAGTCACTTTTGTACGCCACTTGGTTCACAACTCTCTTTCCGAGTCCAGGCACATCTCCTTCTCTGAGTCGAGCATGACTACCAGGCCCATGTCACTCCACTTTTGATGACATCATATGGGGGCCTCAGGACAATAATGGCGCGGCGCGCCACAATCGCTTCAAAGCTCCTTGCCAACAGTTGCCATTTTTGAAAATATTATTTTGAAATAAAGTTCCAAGTAATAAAAATATTGTAATAAAGTTGTTTAATAAATCGATACCATATCTAAAAACTTACTGAAAAATGATTTATTCATAGTAAAAATATAAGCTCGATGCGTTTTTACGTTGCTTTCCTGCAACTGCAGAGGGTTTTTAAATCGTCTATATCTTCAAAACCGGCCATTTCTTAGCATATTGCTACTCTTTTTCATCGCTAGAAAATGAGTTGGACTTTCCAATGACATCAACGGTTGAGCGATATGTGTAGAGTGTCACCAACAATCTTCAAATGAAGTTAGTCATTTTTACGTTGTAAAGGAATGGAGTACCCCTTTCGAGCATCAGGGGTGACGTCACTCAGGATCTGTCTCTGATTGGTCGGCGGGGGAGTGACTGTACCTTCTATAGATGGCCTTGATGACTACCACAGCGCCAGCGTCTGTGTCGGAGGCGCTCCAGCGCGCGTGCGGCGCCGGCGTCGCCGGACCGGCCGCCTCACTCAGACCCGGTGAATCGGTGCCACCTCGAGCTCTGTGCTCTCCACAGAGATGGCCGTCACGCCCGTCATGCCCGACGAGTCCGAATCCATCGACGAGTCTCGGATATAGGTCGGATGACCTAGCACGTTGAATCGTGTCCGGGGAGTCCCCGGCGGCTCCGGGGGCTCCTCGCCGTCCCCCGACGGCGTTACACTGGCGCTCTGCGTGCTCCGGGCTCGCGCGCGCCGCCCCGCCGCGTCCGAGCGCCGATTGTCGGCCAGCCGACCGAGAAACAGTCGTCGCACCTCAGCCTGCATCGTCTGCGAGCGCAGGCTGTAGAGGAATGGTGCCAGCGCCGCGTTACTCACCACGAAAATCAGACTGACGTGCGTGTAGACTGGCGGTAGCGAGCGTGCGAGCGACACGCGCACCAGCTCGATCGCGAAGAACGGCACGTAGCAGCAGGCGAACAGCACCACCACCATCACGGACACCTTGACGGCGCGCGCCTCCTCGCTGTTCCACAGCGCCACCAGCCGCGAGAGCACCCGTCGCAGACAGCCGGTCACCGGGTCCTGTTCAGGAGGAGGCAGCTCGTCACCCTGCGGCGCCTCCGGCGGCGGCCGGTGCGGCAGCTGCGCGCACGAGCGGGCGCGAGCGCTGCTCCGGCGCGCCGCGCGCGAGATGCAGAAGTAGATCCAGGTGAGGAGTACGAGTGGCAGGAAGAAAACCACCGCCGTCTGTACGATGATGACCAGCTGCCGGCGGCTGGTCCACGAGCGGTTGTCACGGAACTCGTCGCTGTGGTCGTGCGGGTCGGCGACCTGCTCGCGCGGCTGGCAGACGGCCCAGCCGCGCGTGCGAAGCTCGCCGATGGTGGATGCCGCCGCCGAGGCCAGGCTGGCCGTCCAGCCGACGCCGGCCAGCAGCGCCGCGCGGCCCGGCGTCATCACCGAGTGGTAACGCAGTGGCTCCTCGATGGCGCA